CACCTACCAGGTCCTACCTAGATGAGGACTCTGGATTTGGGTTGCTGAACTCTGTGCTGTTGAATGCTTGGTGACTGGAACTTAGAAACTTTTTAATATGTTAAGTTGTTGGAATTTCTAAGCTGCGCTAATCTGGACTTTGCATCTCTGGACTCCAGTATGGATTTTGTGTGATCTCGCTATGTGCATGTGCATGAGGTGACAATCAGTGTGGTTCGATGCAACTCCAAGCATTCAACTCTTGAAAATACTTTACAAACCAGATCACTGACATGTACTTCACAACTACGACCTTACCCATCAATGAGACAGTCACTATGGCCAAGATATGCTATCGATGTATGGGATGGGATGCTGGGCCCGGTTCCTGGCCCGTGTTGCTCCCCACAAATAAGATTGGAGGGAGCGTCTTTTCATTAAAAGAAAAAACGGAAATGCCTCTCATGACGTCCCTAACACAAGGATGCCCCCGAACACCTTTGCTGTTTAACATGTTTATCCTAAATATTGAAACACTGGGGATGGGGTTGGTTGGAAGTGCCTTTCTCAGCCCTGTGTGGCTGCGGCATTCATGTGAGGGACGCCGGGCCCGCTCTCCGGCCTTAATTGAAAGTTGGTACAGAAAAAAAAGAAAAAGAGTATAACAAAATTCCACCCTGTATGAGCCCTTAGGGCCAACTTTTTTGTGTCTGCCCGAAGGCTATGTGTGCTCTGTGTATCTGTCTAGTGAGATGTGTGTGCCCGAAGGCCAGATATGTGCAATACTATGTAGAGGGAACAATGTGTTCGTTTGAAGAGATGACAGGCCAAGCTGGACAAGAAACCCCCGCAAAGTCCCAAGCCAGACGCAAACCCGTTATCTATGACATGTGACCTGAAGACTCTACCATTTGAGCGACAATCACAAACGGCCCCTGTGTGTGATATGCCAGACTGGAGAGACCAACAGAACAACCACGAGCAACAGCCACAAGCAACCCACGCAGTATCAAGACTCGACATACAACACCATGGACAACCCTTGGGTGGTGCGCAGGCAGTGTCTGTATAAGCTTACCATGCGTCAGACATAGAGATGTTTGGGCAGTTTTGGAGGCTTTTCAAAGTAGCCCGGTTTTGTTGAAGGGAAAAAACAGCTCCATTTTGACGAAATGGCGATTGAATGTGCCCTGTAGAGTGCAAGTGGAGCCATGTAGACAAAAAGGGTTGAGAGCACTCTCTATGTCTGACGAATCTCCAACCACCCTCGATTCTCGATGTGTGTGTGTGTGTGTGTGTGTGTGTGTGTGTGTGTGTGTGTGTGTGTGTGTGTGTGTGTGTGTGTGTGTGTGTGTGTGTGAGAGAGAGAGAGAGAGAGAGAGAGAGAGAGAGAGAGAGAGAGAGAGAGAGAGAGAGAGAGACCCACAGACGTTTTGATTCATTCTTTTCCCTGGGAGTCACTCCACTGCTCCACATTCCACACATATCTGTCCTACAGACCAGATACATTTGGACTGAGCGAACATTTTGAATGTATTGGGGCCATTACCAGGTCCATATATGTTTGGAATGTTCCGCAGTGGAGGGAGCCCCCCTGACTACCCGCACGATCTCCCGTGCCAGATGGACTTCGGAAGGCAGAGCAACATGATTGCTGATGACACACACAGTCTACTGCTATCCTATTGGGCTCCTAGTAGAAGCGCGCTCCTGTAACTGTCGTTCAAAACGATCATGACTTCAAACCTGTCAGACACAATTATCTTAGGAGTTACCCCCATTTGAGAAATAGAACTCGGGGATGTTTGGCAAAATCCTCCCCATGGTGGAAGGGGAGCAGGAGGAGACAAAGTGGGGCCGACGTACGTTTGCGTTAGACAGATGTAGAAACTACAAAAGCAAGGTCAAGAGAAGGGGGGGAGGGGGTGGGGGGGGAGGTGGAGCACAAGGGCAATAGGAAGGGACAGGCTTGGCTGACATGGGTAGTGGACAAGCATACAAAAACAGAAGCGGGGGTGAAAATAAACCCTTGCTGGCAAACAGGATGCTTGGCCTTGCTGGCAAACAGGATGCTTGGAAGGAAAGACGACAAGAACATTCATCAGTACATAGGAATGGAGAATAGGGTAAATTCCCTCTCCTATTCCTCCTCCTCCTCCTCCTCCTCCGCCTTCTTCCCCTCCCCCTTCTCCTCGTCCTCCTCGCTGTCCTCCCCCTCCTTCCCCAGCTGCTCCTCCTCCTCCTCCTGCTTTCCCCTGCTTCTCCTCCTCCTTGTTTTTCCTCTCTAGGCTTCTCTTGCTATTGCTGACACTTTGAACTAGTGCCGGTGGTTATGGTCTTGTTCGCAGGGAAGGAAGAAGATCAATGGGAAAAACAGAAAGGTACTCATGATGCTTTTTGTTTTCAAATAAAAAGGGCTAATTCTTTTAAACCACCACTACCTTTCTCATATGTGGGGCCGTGGGCCTCAAATTCAAATTCGGCCGCCACGCGCCGTCGATGAAAAATATTGACGGCGGCGTGGCGGCTATTTTTCAGGAGTAGGCTACTAGATGCCCGCGGCCAGCATATGGGAAAGGTAGTGGTGGTTTAACCCAACCTATTCAATTACCTGTCAAATCTGGACAAGACGGCCTTTCAGGCCTTTCTCTATTATCATTACCTCCGGTCCCCTCCCCCTACGAACATCAGCAGTCTCTGCTCAATGCCGCTCGGGGGGGGCAATGGCATATATCTACGTGGCGAGGGCCAAGCTTTGCCCGGGAAGGTACATGAGGCCAATGGGGATTGAACCCAATACCTCCAGAATGCCACTTGTGTGCCTTACCAACCGGGCTAGGCTGCACCAGTAACCTAAAGCAGAAAAGAAGAAGCAAGAGGAAAAGAAAAAGGGGAAAAAGACAAGAACCAGTCCGGGGGAGCTCAGGTCAGTATGGACGACATGTGTTTCAAGACAAGAAAGTGCCTCAACGGGGGTTGAATGGGGGAGCTCATTCAGCATCCCACTCAGCGTCAGTGCACGCGTCCACTGTCTGGTCCGGTTGCTCCAGTAGAGAGTGACGTTCCTCGCATGAGGTAAGATAGAAAAGGAGTGGGGGTGCGCCAGGGGATATATAGAGAGAGGTGGTAGGATGAGAGTCTTGTGAGTATGTGAAAAAAAAAAAGACAAGAAAACAATTCATTGAACCACCTTGGCCGGCATCTGAAGACGTGACACTGCTTCTGATTTGCAGCAGGTGTCACACCATATGCCGATAGAAAGAGGGTGGGCCTCCGTCCAGGGTGTGCTCTTTTTTAGCCTTTTGGGAAACTAGGGCGCAGTCATGGTTTTCAGTTTGAAAATACGTTTCAGTCACAATTTAGATGCCTCCCAACGAAAGATTTGACCAGGGTGAGGGTGGTGGGTGACGATGACACAGGCTACTTTGCTTATGAAATGTCCACCCCGGTGGAAGCACTTGTATTCGACCCGGACGAATGGGTCTGGAAAGGACGGAAACCCACTCCAATTTGGCAATACTCGGTACGTAAGGATTACAAACATGCCCACAAAATGCAGGCCTCCACCTCCGTAGTCCAAACTCGGTGGGCAAGAGATTCACCGCTGCAACACGGGGAGCTACATCACATCGCCTAGAATATATATGCTCATATAATGCCAACCTCACACAGAGTGCTGCAGTGGCAAATTTTACATCGCTGCCTACCGACACCAGACTGGATAACCTCACGTACTAACTTAGAACAAACAGGAGTTTTATCTCCAATATGCTCCCGCTGTGGAGAGAGTGCGCAGCGTAGACGAGCCGACCTAGAACATTGCCTGCTGGCGTGCCCCATGGCTATGCAGGTTTGGCAATGGTGGGACGCCATGTGGCACGAGCTCACAGATTCACCTTTCCGATGGAATATTTCCCTTATCCTGCTGGGAAAAAACAGAAGTTTTCCTTCCTCCTGGACATCCTTCCAACATAACCTGTTTAAACATATGAGACTGGCCATTCTCATGGTCATCTGGAGAATGAGATGCTCAGCAGAACGCCAAGAAGAGACCTTTGGTTTTCACCAAGCCAAAGCAGAGCTGCTTGAGGTGATCAGGGCGAATATGTTGAAAGCCAGTAAAAACTTAATACAAAAAATGAGTGCAGCCCCCGACCAAGACAGTAGACAAAAGCTAATTGAAGCCTTCTCAGTAAAGTGGATAGACCCCAACCACAAATTAGCTGAAGTACAAAACGATGGAAGGCTAACATGGAAGAATTGGGCAGCACAGGACCACCTATGGACATACAGACCGCCCGAGTTCTTCCCAACACCGCCTCCGGGTCAACTCAA